CAACGATAGTTGATTGAAGCGAAGCGAAATATCGGCGACCCCAGGCATAATTGAAACTACCTTTGCCAAATCACTTAGCCACGCAGCAAACGTCTCGACAGTTGGAAACGGCGAAATATTACTGGCGTACTTGCTCCATTCAAACTGCTTAGATGGCGGCAGCTTCAATACCAATTGCTCCAAAAGTGTCGGATTTTGCAATTGATGTTCGCACTTCGCCGATTTAAAAAACGCTGATATGTTGTGAACTCGGTTCGAAAACTCGAGGATATGATCCAGACGGTTGTCATGAATGACAGGGAACTGCTGGACTCTTTGCAATTGTGCACGAATAAGCAGATCAGGCTGACCAAAGTTGAATTGCAACTCCTCCATCACTTTTGGCACATCGTCTGGATACATAAGCATAGAAGTAACCGCTCGCTTAGCATTACCCTGCAATGCTTTCTGTAGACGCTTGAGGTTTTGTCTTTTGCCATACCCGAACTCCGCAGTGGTGTCGACGTAGTTGGCGATAAATAGTGGCCAATCCTCTGGATTACCATCAAACGCTGGCAACGGAAATAGCTTGGCGGCAGACCATTCAATAAACGCCAACGCATTTGATGGTGGTGGCATCGGAGGCTGTGCTGCGGGCCGAGGCAATGCGGTACACCTTGCGTTAACTGCTGATGTGAAAGCGGTATGTCTGCCAAAACATTATTGGTAGCTGACCCTTCTGTAAACGCCGGAGGCTGTGCTGCAGGCGGTGGCAGTTGTGTTAGCTGTGGATTCGCAGGCGGTACGTTTAACGTGACGTTATTGTTTGCTGAGTCTATCTCCATTCGCTGGCGGAGCGGCTGTAATTTCGCCTGGCTGCGGCTGGTTTCGTTGCGCAATTCCTGCACGTGCCGTAATACTTGCCACTAGTGAAGCAATCGCATCACTTCCAACGTTTACCTGTGCCTGCGCCGTGGTATCCAGCGCCCCGATGTTCACAGCAGTCGCATCTGCATCGGAATCTGAATTACTGGCATCAGCGTCAGCGGCATTTGGGGTTCCGTTTGCCTGACTTCTCGTGAACATAGTTACGAGGCGATGCAATTCGGTGTTATTTGCTTAACAATATGTTCGGCGAAATATAATTTTATTTTTAGGCGTGTAAGCAATAGTACTGCACAGCGTTGAAAAAACGTTTTAAGATTCCGAAATTAATGCCCCAACGAACGGCGAATGTTAACCGCAATGCGTAACGGAATACTTTTGTGACAAACGGCAACGGTAGATTACAGTTGAACAGAAAAATAGTTTATGAAGCGGCAAATTTCCAATCTTCTATAGCGGCAGCTTCCAAATAACGGCTTCGAACTCGCGCTCGGCAACACACAAATACACGCAAACAGCAACGGCGCAAATAGCAATTTGAAAACTTTTTGTTGTTGGCTGACAAAGACAAATCTGATTTTAGTACAATATAATTATAAGACCTTTATTCCAATTGACTTGCGTGTTTGTTACAAAATATATGAGTTAGGCTGACAAATAACACTGACGACGACGACGAAGACTTTAGAAAGATGAAGTGTTGATGGACGATAAATACGAAGACGGCGACTAATTTAATTGACGATTACAATAAAGACTAGGACTTTTATCAATTTACATTTACAACGCGAATTTAAATGTTTGTACGTATGTGTGTGTGTGTCTGTTTCAAATTGGTGCCTTTTGCACCCGCTGCTTTGCTCGCCAAATTTGGAATGTTTTTGCCAAACGGTGAACGGTATTTTATATGTTTGCATGGGGGTATGCATGTTTGTCGATTTCGTTTTCTCCTTCCCATCCCTCGAAATCGAAATACCACTGACTACGACAGGGTTGCACTCTAGCGATCAGTGTTGTGCAACGACACACACATTCTCATTTTCAATCTAAAATAACAACAACTTTGAACAATTCCTTTTTTTTACTCTCAATTTTATATGATTTTAAAATGTTGGCAGACTTGAAAAAAAATTAAGGCCGACGAATTGAGGGAACGGTTTAACCTTGCTATGTTTTTATCATGGTCATATCTACCGTTTCTTTACTTTGCGAGAGAAACAGAGTTTTACGATCGAAAATATTGATTTTCAAGAATTCTTCACCATTTCTACGACAAGTTGTTTTTCCCCCCCATATAAAATACATGGACAACTTTGAGCGCTTTGAACACTGCCTAATTTTTTTTTGTCTCAAAATAAAAAATAACGGTATATTGTTTCGGTATAGAACAATCCTAGGGGGTGGCGGCATTAAAATTCCGACTTTACTTTTTCACATGCATTTTTGGACCACTCTAATGTATATACATACATACATGTGCACATATGTAGGTAGATGTATCGCACGGCATGCACCTTTGTTATATGCCCGCCATTTTAATAGTTGTGAACTAGAATGCTACCAGTTAGCTTTTCAGCTCAACCAGTTCGTCCTCCATTATTTTTCCGTGCTAGCGACTGGTATTTTAACATGGCGATGTCCTACTGAATATCAATTGTGCGGATATACATCAGCACCTACTGGTAGAAATACTAGTAGCAATCATACAAGTTGACGTGATAGTCTGCTGGTTCGCCTCGGTGAAAGGAATAAGATTACCATTTCAGAGAACCGTGGTTCGAATCCACGGTAGCGGAATTTTTTTATGAAACTTTTTAAATTTTGGTTGTTCATTGTAAGTTATAAATTGTATTCGCTTGAATATAAAAATATTATTATTATTTTTAATTACATTTAATTTATTTTTTTAATTACATTTAATTTGTAATAAATACTTACAAAAATTTTTTCTCAGGTTTTTTAATAAATTTAATATTTTACTTATTAAAATTGTGTTGCTTAATTTATATTGTGTTTTTTGTGCAAAGCCGTCGGCAAACACACAACAATAATCAAGCCTTGAGACGACGCTGTAAAATTTCCTAAAAACAATTATTTTTTATTTAGTAAATAAAAAATGTATACGGTATGTATGTATATATGTATGTATGTAAAAATGCCATCGATATTAATCCCGGAGCACAGTGAATAAGCAGACAGTGGAGCGGCGTGCATTTGTTTCCATTCTAAAATTCAAATCAGTCAAATAAAGGCTCAAAGTTCAATTTATTCCCTGTGCCACTGTGATTAATTCTTTCTCCTAGTTATTTCATTACTAGCATCAATTTTTTTTTTGCTTTCAGATTTAATATTTCTCCTAATGTTCGGAAAAATAATCGATTAAACCAAGTTGAACATCGAAAAGAACATAAATAAAACAAAAGTATATAGAAATAGTATTAATCATTGGACAATATTGAGAAAAAATTATCCATAAAATATTTCATCGAAAAATTCTTTATTGTTGTACTGTCGGCTGTCTTATATGTATAAACAATCCACCAACAAATAAACACCACCTTGTATCAATTCTCCTTGCTTGGAGCTACCATTATTTTCATAAGAAAAATATTAGTTTATGTACATTAGGGTGGTCCTTAAAAATCAAATGAAAGATTTTTCAGTCTCGCCCCCTCAATTGGTAATACCACGGTCACAGATATCACATATAAATTTTGGTCCCGATTGGGGACGGTTAAGCCATGTCACACAGTGGGCAAAGTACAGATTCCTCTATAGAGACTCAAAAAATTTAATTAATTTTTTTCATCTAATACCCAAACTTGATACTTGCATAGTCGAAGATATCGTATATAAATTTTGGTCCCGATTGGAGTCGGTTAAGGCGTGTCGCAAAGGGGTCAAAGACCAGATACCTCCATAAACTGAAAAAATTAAAAATATATATATTTGTTTCATTTAATACCCAAATGGGCCCAAAACACCCAAGAGCGACATAGATATGACAGAAGGTGCGTCGCGAGATCATGATTCTGGGCCAAAATTAAAGAAAAAATATAGTTTTCATGACACCGTAAGGTATATTAAGAATGAATCTAAACAATTGTGGTCTTAAAATTAAAAAAAAAAAAAACACCAATTAATGTTCGATGTTAATAACCAAGACTTGAAACTGAACAGCCGTCACGTTTTTTGCAGCGGTCGTCCCATTTACCGAATCACAATCTAATCGAACATGGAATAGATTTTGGAAAAGCGGTGGGGCCTAAAAGTACGCAACATGGAAAGCTAAAAGACGCAAAGTGTAATAAGCCAAATCTGGCTGTATGAGGGCCATGTTGCATTGTGCATGTTGCATGTTGTTAGGCGCATCTGCTATTCTTTTGGAGATTTTTAGGGATCAAAATTAGCGATAGCGAATGCTGGAATCCGGCTGCAGGGCCCTTTTTCCATGCATTGGCATTAAAGAGGTAGTAGTACCCAATACTCTACACCAAGCTTTTTAGGCGTTAATGAAAGAATTATGTTTATAAGAAAATAAGTTCCAACAACGGAATTTATATAACAAGTGTACTAGGCATCTTCTGTGAATTATATGTTTTTGAAATAGTAATTAATAATCTGACATTTTGCAACAGTAATGTCAACTCTAAATACAAATTCATCGTTCTAGTTCTGAACTAAATTTCAAGTTGAGTTAACAACCCAAATGCGTTCAGAACTTTACTCAGTTGTTCTCCCAGACAGAGAGAAGCACAACAACAACAACAACCATATGAAAGAAAAGTTCTGAACTAAAACGATCAATCCGCCTTATATCACTTGTCTAGAATAAAATTTACATATAAAGATTTTGCATAAACGACACTTCCAGCACAATTGAAGCTTTGTATGAAAGAGCTGGCGTAATGTCGCGAAATGAGCTCTTCATTCGTGTCAAATCTGATGAGAAAACACTCAGACGTCTTTATACGTTGTTTTTTTTTTATATTTCATTCGCAGAATATGTTGTTGAGAAGCGTCACAAAACTACAAACATGGGTAGTAAAACTTTTGGCCAGAACATATTCGAATGCTGGGATTCCGGAACTAACACAGGTGTGTAAGTCAGTACGAGGGAAACCCCGAGTTATCGGAAACTAGCATTAGTCGGTGTTTTTGTCGATGTCACATTATGATTTTCGAAAATTTTACAGATCAAAATTTTGCAAAGTAGTTTTGATTAAATAACGTCTCAAAGAAATCAGTATTGTACAAAAATGCAAATTTCACGTAGGGCATAACTCAAAAACAAAGCTTGGAACGGCTACATTTGGCGCTTTTGGTAATGAAGCACCATCAAAAACCACTGTGCGAGAAATGATTTAGATAGAGGCATCCTTGCACTTTGGCAAAAATCAAATACAAACGATTTCGTATTAGCACACAATTTGACCGCAACTCAAAAAAAAAAAAGACCAAAACAAATGCTCGAAAAATTCAATCGAGGTGCTTCTGAAAACGCTTGCTAGTATTTTAACAGGTGGCAAAACTTGAATCTATGAATTTGAGTCCGAAACAAAATAACAATTCTTTGTCTGAGGGTTTCAAAATGAGCCAAATCCAACAAAATTGGTTCATGCACGAAGCAGTTCAAAAAAAATTATTGCTTTCTTCTTCCGTAAAACTGGGCCAGTTGCTGTTGTTGCTCTTGAGGATCGAATAACGGTCAATGCTGAATGTTATACAAAAATTTGCTTATCGGAAGCCATCGACGAAAAATAAAACAGGAAACGTCGCATCTTCACCACGACAATGCCAGCTCGCACACAACAATGATTATACGAAGCAGAAAAAAGTAATGATTCATTGTCCATATTCACCTGATTAACAACCTAATGACTTTTTCCTATTCCTGTTTGTTAAGAACAAAATACGTCAACATCTGAAAAGGTCGTCGAGGCATTCAGAAAACATGTTTCTGAGCTATCCATTTCAGAGTGGAATAAATGTTTCGACAATTAATTTCTTCGAATGCAAAAATGTATGGATCTTAAAGGTGAATATTTTGATAAACCATAAAACGCTTATTTTTTCGGGTTTTCCGAAAATTTTAGGGGTTACCCTCGTAACAATAATATAATCAATCAATAAAAAGCAATATTAAAAAAGATTCCAGTTAAGCGTCGCTAGAAAAAAAGACTTGCACAAAAGTTCAAAATTAAACACAGTGCTTCTCAACAAAAAAAAAATAAAAATTAATAATAATGGTTCAATTTGTTTTCACTCTCTTCATGCAGGCACGACATAATGTGAAACGCAATCCTTTCGCCGATCTG